ACATGTAGGAGCTTTGCAGAGAGACCACTGCTTCCCCGTGAAGAGCAAGGGTCCTTCTCTCTAGCAGCTGGCACGGGGCAGGCTTTTCTACAGAGGCTGTGGCTGTTTTAGAAAGAAAACTAACTGTAGGATATTGCGCACTGTTTGCTTTAAAGCAGACCTTTACACTCAAAACTCAAATTCTACTAATGCATCCCTCTATGTATGATGAGTTATAATAACAGACATGTCAGGTGTAAAATGCTGTGATTGTGAAATACTTACACAGAGCAGAGCATTCACTTCCTGCTTTGAAAGGGCAAAATGACTTCAGTTTGCCAAAGCCACGCACACTGGGATTGCCTTGTCATCAGCAGAACATTGCTGGGAAATCTCCACTGTCAGAAGACTGGGGAAGAAACGAGAAATAAGGAATGCAAAGAATACAAAGCTAACAATTATCTAGAAGTATGTGTTTGTAGATTGGCATTACTAAACATTCCTAAAGGTGTGTTGTTGTCATTTTAAAGATATGGGTAAAGGTCAGCTTTAAAGAAAAACTGCAGGCAAATAAAAAATGTACCCTTGCAATGGGGCTACCCCCTGCAGTGCACGCATTAAGTGACCATATTGGTCTATGGGCTGGAATAAAGCTGTTTTACTTACCTAATTCTGGCTACCTCTGGGGTGCTAGACCAGTCCCCACAGCCTCTTCTTCCCTGGGCTACAGCAGTCTAAGGACCGCTGACATCATCATTGTATGCTGGTCCATTGACTTTTATTAGACGTGAGGACAGCAAGGGACATTTCACAGCCAGAGTGGAAGGATGAGAGAGAGGTGAGCGGTGACTAGAGCTGGGATCGGGTAAGTAAAACAGCTTTATTCCAGCCCCTAGACAAAATGAGCACTTAACAGATGCAGTGCCGGGGGGTAGCCCCACTGCAAGTGTAAGTTTTTGATATGTAGGACATATTTTAGAAATCACCTAAATGCTTCTTTCTTTGAACTTGTTGTATAAATCCCTTCCATTGCAGTTCCAAGGCTATATGACGGGGCCGCCGCTTCTTTTCATATTACCACTATTGTTGGGCGTGAATTTATACATAGCAATGATTTGACTGTATGAATCAAACCATTTAAAAAGGCACGACCAGCCTACGAATAATAGTCACTTCTTTTCATACAGAACGTAATGCCGAACAATAATCCTGCTTATTTCCACAGATGAAAGAGAAATGACATAAGGTGCAGAAATAAAAAAGCGCGGGCATGTTATAGTGAGGGTTTTATGGAAGTGCGGTGTTTGAGCTCTCAGCTTACGGGGGCCTGCAGAAAATGGCATGATGAGAGATGTACTGAGCACTGCATTTACTGTAAGTGGTGTCAGCCAGGTCAAGTGTGTCAGCAGTAATTGGTACAGAAGTAAACTGGGTAAAACTACTTTTAAAGGTGTGCTGCGCCTACGAGGAGAATGACAATTTCGCCAAAGTGAGATAACGGATTGGAGGATTAACAGACATCAAATGCGAACATAGACAAGGTTCCCGATGATGGAATGAGGTTTAAATGGCAGGTAATCACTGCTGAGCGGGGTAACAACTGCGGATGGTGTTGCTATGGTGAAATTTTATCGGTGGATACAACTCTGCATAAGTGAGACAATGGGCATCCTAGAAGTTTGGTTTGCTGGCAGGGCCGGGTTGCAGGACCCTATTCATTCTATCAAATGCCAAATGGACCAATGTGTTGTTAAGAGCAGAGCTGCAGAAAGCAATTCCCTACTCTAAAGCTCCACACTTACCCTCGCCGTAACCCACATATTGTAACAATAACTTTTATCCCAAATTAATCTGTACCCCTATCACGAACCCTCCCACTAATGCTTCCTGTAACTCTAACACTAACTCTAACACTAAGCTTTCTTTAAAGGAGAACTATGAGGTGAGTGATTTTCACTCACCTCATAGTTCTAGCCGACCTGTGACAATGAGACTGTCACAGGTCGGCTCAGTAGAACGGGAGGTGAGCGAACACATACCGGCGTTCGCTCACCTATCGATCCTGTCACGGCTCTCTGCCGTGACAGGGAAGGGGCTGGATTCCCCCCTCCGATCCGCCAGCGCTGACTGGCGGAACGGACGAGGAGGGGGCGTGTACAGCTGGCTCTGCCTTTAGAAAGGCAGAGCCAGCTGTCAGTCACGCAGCTGGGCGGATCCCGGCACAATTGTCGGGATCCGCTTCAGCGGCGCGTCTCAGTATACCGCGAGCAGCTGCTCGCGGTATACTGCGGCGTCTCAGTATACCGCGAGCTACAGCTCGCGGTATACTGAGCCTATGGTGACGGGAGGACGCTAGTTTGTGTCCTCCCGTTACCCTAAGGAGAACTATGGGGAAAAGACTTAACCCCGTAGTTCTCCTTTAACACTAACACTGGTGCTCCCTCTAATCCTCACACTAACCTTCCCTGTAATCCTACCACTAGCTCTCACACTAACCTTACTTGTAGCGCTAATATAAACCCTCATTCTAACCTTACCTGTAACCCTTACACTAATTCTCACACTACCCTTCCCTGTAACTCTATATTAAGCCTCCCTCTACACCTCACTATAACCTTCCCTGTAATCCTAGCACTAATTTTCCCTATAACCCTCACTATAACCTTCCCTGTAACCCCAACACTAATCCTCACACTAACCTTCCCTGTAGCTCTAACATTAAAGTGACATTAAACCCTCAGATTTTTTAACATAAACCAATACTGTAATGTGTGCCTTACTGTAATCCATGATTGTTTCCCTTCTCTTTGCTGCTCTTCCCTTTAAATCCTCATGTCTTCTCATGCTGCGCAGAACTTCTGTTTTGCAGCAGACTGCCTTGTCTCAGGAATGGATACACAGTGTCTGTGTGTAGGTTCACAACCTGAGCCAGCACTACAGGAAGAGGCACTCAGCTGCAAAGGGAAGTTCTCCCCCAGCAAGAGAAGAGATACAGATTTAAAAGGAAGAGCAGCAAAGAGAAGGGAAACTACCATGGATTACAGTAAGGCGCACATTACAGTATTGGTTTATGTTAAAAAATCTGTGGGTTTAATGTCACTTTAAGCCTCCCTCTATACCTCACACTAACCTTCCCTACAATCCTATCACTAACTCTCACACTAACCTTACTTGTAGCGCTAATATAAACACTCATTCTAACCTTACATGTAACCCTAACACTAATCCTTACACTAACCTTCCCTGTAACTCTAACATTGAGCCTCCCTCTATACCTCACATTAACCTTCCCAGGAACCCTAACACTAATCTTGCCTATAACCCTCATACTAACCTGCCCCGTAACCCCAACACTAATCCTCACAGTAACCTTCCCTGTAACTCTAACATTAAACCTCCCTCTACACCTCACATTAACCTTCCCTGTAACTCTAACACTAATCTTTCCTATAACACTCACTATAACTTTCCCTGTAATCCTACCACTAACTCACACATTAACCTTACTTGTAGCCCCAATATAACACTCATTCTAACCTTACACTAATCCTGATGCTAACCTTCCATGTAACCCTAACACTAACCTTCCCTGTAACTCTAACATTAAGCCTCCCTCTGTACCTTACACTAACCTGCCCGGTAGCCCTAACACTAATCCTCACTATAACCTTTCCTGTAACCCTAGCACTAACCCTCATACTCACCTTCCCTGTAACCCTAACATTAACCCTCACGCTAACTTCCCATGTAACCCTGACACTAATCTTCCCTATAACCCTCTCACTAACCTTCTCTGTAACTTTAATATTAAGCCACCCTCTAAATCGTACACTAACCTTCCCTGCAACCCTAATACTAATCTTCACACTAACCTGTCTTGTAACCCTAACACTAAGCTGACACTATCCTTCCCTATATCCCTAACACTAACCTGACACTAAGTTTGCCTGTAACCCTACTACTAACCTTCACACGAATCTCCCCTGTAAGCCTAACACTATTTTTTACCCAACCTTCCCTGTAACCCTAGCACTAACCATCCCTATAACACCCTGCATACCCTGTAACCCTAACACTAACCTACTCTGTATCCTAACACTAACCTACCCTTTTACCTAACCTTCAAAATGACCCTCACACTAACCCTGCAACCTTAACACTAACCTTCTCTGTAGCCCTAACACTAACCTACCCTGTAACCTTCTTACCAACCTTTCCTGTAACCCTAACACTAATCTGCTCTGTAACCTTGCCAATGACCATCACACTAACCTTTACACTTCACTAACCCTAACTTACCTTGTAACCCTAACACTAAGCTACCCTATAACAAGCATACTGACCCACACACTAAGCCTGTAACCCTAGCACTAATCTGCTATATAACCTTCTCACCACCCTTCCCTGTGACCCTAGCACTAACCTTCCCTATAACATTAACGTACCCTGTAACCCTAACACTAACCTATCCTGTAACCTTGCCAATGACCATCACACTAACCTTTACACTTCCCTCACTTACCTTGTAACTCTAAAACTAACGTACCCTGTAACCATCATACTGACCCACACACTAAGCCTGAAACCATAACACTAACCTACCCTGTAGCTTTAACGCTGACCTACCCTGTAACCTTCTCACCAACCTTTCCTGTAACCCTAACACTAATCTACCCTATTACCCTAATTACCACCCTTCCCTATAACCATAGCATAATCCTTCCCTATAACACTAAGCTACCCTGTAACCATGCCCATGCCATCGCACTAACCTTTACACTTTGCTACAACCCTAACACTAACCTACCTTATAACCCATACTAACCTTCCCTGTAACCTTCACAATGACCCACACACTAACCTTCACAGTTCCCTGCAACCCTAACCCTACTTCTTACACAAACTTTCCATGTAGCTTTAGCATTGATCCACTTTCCCATTTACATAAAACACCTGAATATGTAGTCCTCCATGTTCTGTGCTGTGTTATCAGTTGCCACTAGTTGGTTAAAATATTCATATTGAAGGGTGCCGTATGCGATCGCTATTCTATTGCCTTGTTATTGCTTGTCTCAGGTAAACACTCTAAAATATTTCCCCGTTCCAGAGTTGATATTTATCTATCGTCCCATAAATAAGCCATTATTGCTCCTATTGTGTGACACAGCTGATACTTGTGTTGCACGGCGGTAGTACATCATGTCAGCTCTGCAAGATTTCACATCAGGAGTTTTCTTCAAGTCCCAAAAAAAAACAACTGGGAAAACTGCCAGTCTGGTAAAATTATACCGAACGTGATAGCTTTAGGAAGATCAGTCATTTCCAGCACGAGCGGTGGTGATAAATCTCTATTGTTTAACAAAACACAAATAGTTTGCAAACAAGACACCTAATGCAAGATCTCCTAATTACGCTGCAGTATGAACAGTGGGCCTGCTAGGTGGAGCATGCTGGGAGACTGACGGGCCGGATAAAGGTTTAGCCAGCGCTGTGCTTCGGGGACTATTTTTAAGAAAAGACGGTGGTTGGTCCAGAATTTACAGAGAATTACAGAAAGTGACTATGCTATTTGCAGTCTGCATTCCCCCCAGTGTCATGTACGGGAGTTTAAGTTATATTTAAAGAGAACAAGTCACGGTTATTGCAAAAATGTTGATATTCAATTTTAAACAGAACAGGGTTACGTAAGGGTTATATCTGCCCCATCGTTGCTCTCAGCTTGACACTACAACTTGTTTTAACTGTCAACTGCCTGTAGTGACACACTGGGCCCGACAAACTATTGGTGACACAGGGTTGTGGCAAGAAAATTCTGTGCAAAATTGCAAATTGTGACAAATGATCTATCCAGCACCACCCAACTGCTTAGCGCACTAGTGTGTTTACTTAATGCATCCAACTTACATGCAATCTTTTCGTTTCTTTCTCGCACAAATTGCGACATTTCTGTAAAAATTTGCAAATAAAGATTTTCCTATTATTCTAATTTACTAATTAGAGTAATTTATGCAGTGCCAACATACTCCTAGATATTTTATAGAGACCACTGAACCATCCTAGTTAGTCCCTGACTCCAACGGAGCTTAGCATCTGTTGGCCCACACAATAGCAGCACTTTGACCCTAGTTAAAGGAAGCACTACTGAGAAAAATACATGGGCCACCATTGCTGATCATTGTTTGAAAATGCTAGCTGCTCGGCTGCCCTTGATTTTAATACTTTGAGTCAATAAGCCAGTAGAAGAATGCACAACAGAAAGAGTGATGTCATAATTTGAAAAATATATGAGGTATATTGTTGGACTTTGGAGGAACTTCCTTCTAGATAATGTCAAGGGAATCAAACATGAGCATCATAGTCACTTTAAAGGATGGCTAAATAAGGGATGGAAGCTTTTACCATGGCAGCTCAGGGAGGTTAGGTTAAAGAAGAGTTGTTTGTGACTGGGAATGAGCTTGGGTTTGGTCCGAACCTGAGTTTATTCAAACTCAGGAAGGAAGTTGTCAGCGCCAGCCCAGTCAGCTGTGGCCAAGACATTCCAGCCTCACAGGTGCACTTAAATAAATGGGCAGGATGTTGTGGGACATCATTGATCTTATATGGACACATGACCATATTAGGTCAATATGATTGACCTAATATGTCAAACAAATCTAATATGGCCATGTGGTCTTATAAGTTCAAGGATGTCACCAGCATCCTGCTCCTTTGTTTGCATTCAGCTGCGGGGCAAGGAATGCCCTAGTCACAGCTGATAGCTTCTTTCTGGGTTCGGAAGAACTCAGGTTCAGATCAAACCAGAGCTAAGCTCTAGTTGTGACTGACACCACTGGGCTGAAAGCCTGGTGGGAACAGATTAAAGACAATTAAAAAAAATCCCCAAAATACTTTCACAATCAAGTCTTCTGTTTACTGTATCAAGTCCACACCACATGAAAGAAAATCATCATAGCATTAAAAGTTACTATTTATCCAAAATTAAGCACATAAAAAATTCTGAAAGTAAGCTCACCGGATAAAAGGCGAATTTCAGCCTCATTCCCCGTCCTGGAGCTACCGGGGTTTTTGGCCAAGCATCTGTAGAGTCCAGCATCTCCTGCTTGAAGCCGACTTATCTGAAGTGTACCTGAAGGCAGAACCAGCACACGGGTATCACCAGGAATCAGCACCAGGTCTTCTTGATTCTTCTGCCAGTGTATAGTGGGCATGGGCTCACCAACTATTTCACACTTCAGTAAAACTGTATCGCCCAGGAAAGACGTGACCGATTCCGTCTGGGACAGGAACCTCAGCGGACCTGAAAATAGAACATAAAGGGGTTAAACCCACAAAATTCCCATTGCTATGTCTTTGTCTGATAGGTGTGTGTAGATTACAAAATGTTTTAATTATTTTTTCCTTTTAGGAGACACTGATATCTCTAAACAATTTAAGCTCAACTTCAGCCTTTCCTTTAGTCTTACTTTAGGCTTACTCTGATTTCACTGCACACACTGTGAACTCCTGTGAGAAGCTGCAGCAAGCCAGATGGAACCTACCTAATTTCATGCCTGGGGGACATCCGACATCTGGCCTGGCCCATTCATTTTACTACAGTTCTTTCAATCATGGAGACTCCGTTTTACACACGGGAGTTACCTAGGGTAGTCTACAAGGCAATACAGTCTGCTGAGGAGCACCCACTGCTCTAGACTGACATCCACCCACCAAGGAATTATGATATTCGCATTACCCCTCCCAAAAGATGGCTTTGTGGTCTGGCCTAATTAACCTGTGTGAATGAAGCCTGAATAAAAACATACTGAAGCAATCAGACCAGCATAACAGTCAGGCATTTGTTGGAAGAGAGGAGCTGCAGTTAGACTACACCAGTGGTGGTCAGCTTTGTAGATATAGGGGGCATCCCTAGAGTGCTGCACATAATATGCAGTATTTGTAGTGCTATATTGGATTGTCAGAGACTAGTGACACAGTAGGAGATGGGACTGCTGAGACTGTTGGAGCTGGTCAGGGACTCGTGACACTGTTGAAGATAGACAGGGACTGGTGACACTGCTAGAGATGGTCAGGGACTGGTGATCCTGCTGGGGATGGTCAGAGTCTAGCGACATTGTTGGAGATGGCCAGAGACCGGTGACACTGCTGAGGATGCCCAGACACTGGTGGCCCTGTTGGAGATGGCGAGAGACTGGTGACACTGTTGCAGATGGTCAGAGACTGGTGTCACTGCTACGATGGCCAAAGATTGGTGACAGGTGTAGATGAAGGCTGGAGATATGCTGCAGAAGAATGTTAGAGACTAGGGATATGATAAATAAAACTGCTATAGATCAGACATTAATGGCAGATCCCTTGACCTCCTGTATAATCAATTATTTGGGGGATAGCTTACAAAGACAAA